AGAATTGGCCACTGCCATTGAAAAAGGCATCCTGCATAGGTATCCTTGAAAAAGGATACCTTCTCTGCCAAGATGGTCAAAAGGCTGAGGGGCTGGCAGCTTGAAAAAGAAATGGAAAAGCCTCCTGGCAACCTTGAAAAAGGTACAAAGAGTTGGCCACAGCTCTTTTGAGCTTGTGGGCCCATGGCAAAGTGTCAGGAAGGACCATGAGATGGCTGGCAGAATGCGCACTTCAAGATGGGGCACAACATGATGAGCTTGTGCTGTTGGCCAAATGTGGATCCCATGGAGTGCACCCTGGCAACATCCACAGGGATTTGATGGCAAGCTTTTGCAAAGGGATTGACTTGCCAGACCCCTTTCATCTTGAAGTGCCTTGCAAGAACCCCAAAACCTTGAAAAAGGATTCTGAGGTTGCTGCAATATATTTGCCTCATCTCATGTTTGCCAAGCTGGCTACCTACAGCAAGTTTGAGACCATCTTCCCTCTGGAGCTCTTGGGGCAATTCTGGGATCAAGCAGAGAAGACTGGAGATGATCGCCTGCAGGGCCACCCCATGAAAGTGAAGGGGTGGAAGAAGAAAACAACCCCCTTGTTCTTGCATGGGGATGGGTTGGAATATCAAAGCAGGGATTCACTCATGGTCTATTCATGGGGGTCCCTGCTCCAGCAGCTGAATTCACTCAGCTCCCATTTCATGATTGGTGGCTATCCCAAAAGCTGTACAGAAGCAAGCACATGGGACACCATGATGAAATGGATCTGCTGGAGCTTTGCAGCCCTTGAAAAAGGGTTGCATCCAACTCATGACCCTGCAGGCAGCCCCTTGAAAAAGGATTCTCCCTTCTACCTTGAAAAAGGTAAGCCCCTGTGCAATGGACTGAAAGGGGTGCTCTGGTGCATTCAAGGAGATCATGAATTTTCTCCAATGCATTGCTTCTTCCTCATTGGGCATCACACTGCCCCTGTTGGGAGTGTGATGCCCAAAAAGAGCCAAAACCAGTGAAGCTTTGGTACACATGTCCAATGAGGAAGCCAGGCTGCACCCCAGGAGCAATCACCCCCTCTTTTCTGGAGTGATTGGAGGGCTGACAACCAAAATGGTCAGGGGTGATTGTCTCCACATACTATTTTGCAAAGGTGTCCTAGGACATTTCCTAGGCAGCATCATGCACTACCTGTGTTGGCATGATGGCCCTGGTAAGGTTCAAGCAGTGGCACCAGAAAAGAGATTGGGAGCCATGTTTGAAGCCATCCAAAGAGAATATGTGAGGCAATCTTCACCGACCAGGGTCACCAACCTCAGGTTGAGCATGATTTGTGACCCCAAGCAACCCCATGCAAGCTTCGCCCACCTGGACCTGAAAGCTGCAGAAGCCAAGCACACCCTGCATGCCTTTCTGCCAGTATGCAATGCAAGGCATTGTTGGATGAAGGGGTTGCAGAAGAGAAGGCCATGCTCCAGGCCATGCAGTGCATGTCAAAACTCATCAAGCTCTTTGATGAGGCAGATGCTTTCTTGACAGAAGCTGAATGGCATAAAGCCATGTCCCTTGAAAAAGGGTTCAGTGACTACTATGCCCTTCTGTCTGCTTGGGCCTGAAAAGGGGAGAAAGCTTTTCAACATAGTGATGAAATGCCATACATTTCAGCACTTGGTTGCCAACTCAAAATACCTCAACCCCAAAGCCCACTGGACTTTCTCCAGTGAGGATTTTGTGGGCAAGATATCCTTGCTCACATCCAGTGTGAGCCCTGGTGTATCTTCTACAAGGTTGAGTGTCAAGGTTGCACCAAAATACCGCATCCTACTTCATTTTCTTCTCACAAGAGAAGGGATGGAGTTGGCATCGAGGCAGATTGACCCTTGAGAAAGGCCTCCTGCAACCTTGACAGGCTCAACCATCCTTGAAAAAGGATGTATATATACCTTGAAAAAGGTTTGGGTTGAGGTTTTTGAAAAGTGCAATTATAAGCCTCTGGCCTGGAGCAAGCTTGAAAAAGCAAGCCTGTGAAAGCTTGAAAAAGTCAGTCCAAAGGCTCTTGAAAAAGAGGAACCTTGAAAAAGAAGTGCATCTTAATTCATGCATGAACCTTGAAAAAGGGACATGCTTTCTGGCAGATGAACCTGGCCAAGAGCTAGATGAAGTATAGAAATGATATGGAAAAAAAGGAGAGTGCCAGCAGGGCCTGGGCAGGGTGTAGAGGGGCTGGGACCTGTTTGATTTGTTTGATAATATTGTTTTTTTTTGATTTTTCTAGTGTGTTTTGGTATATTGATTATTTTGATTTTTCTTCCTAGTTTTTACAATTGATTTCAAAATCAAAAAAATCAATTCTCCAATATTGATTTTGAAGCTAAATCAAAAGGGTTTTGAGAATATTGATTGTAATCAATATTCGATGCTCAGGGTAATTAGATTGGAGGCCATCGCAAGTAGATTGGAGACCATCGCAAGTTGATTGGAGGCCATCGCAAGTTGATTGGAGGCCATCGCAAGTAGATTGGAGACCATCGCAAGTAGATTG